GTGAACATCTCCTCTCCTGCAGAAAAGGAAGTAAGAAGAAGGTATGATCACAAATGACTTGCTAAACATCATGTGATGTCACAGCATGCCAGCCTCCAGCATGTATTCAGCCTGAACTTGATGTCCTCTCATTCTGGAGTGTTCTGCCAGGAATGATGGAAGTACATAGACTGTAGAAACAGCTGCCAACCCTATATTGTTTGTGTACTGCTTAAAAAATGACAGCCTCTGTCCCTTGCCTTGTCTCCCAGGTCTTTTCAAACCTTTTTAGTTTTACTTATTTGCAAGTATTCCTTTGTATAGACTTTCGTTAAGAGAACAATATTACTTTAAAGAAGCCTGAATCTGTAATTGATCTACTGCTAAGTTGTAATTATCCATTTATAATTATCCATTTTCATATTCTGTAATACAACGGACTTTTCTGTTTATTCAGTTCTGAACAATATGGGTAGACCAGTATGCAGTTTAACTTTGAAAACCATGTCACCATCACCTGATATCTTTTGGCACCAGTGGGATGCTTTAAAGCTATAGCTTAGCTACACCACCAGATTCAACCTTCCTAATTAGAACACAGACCTCAGCTACATTGCCCTTATCTTCCATAAGAGTCTGAATAAGAAGAGTATCTCACACACCACTTTCCCTACTGGAGTTAGTTTTTATCGACCTAGAGGGATGTTCAGAGACAGGGGCTTCTGTTTTTTAAGTCTCAGTCAGAGCTTTATCTTGGAGTCCTATCATTGCAACTCCGCTTATTTTGGAGTTTTTTCGATGTAACTGGAACAGGAATAAGGCTCAGAAATTTCAAGATACTAAAAAAGTCCAGGAACCAATTTTACAAGTTTTATTTACACTGACACAGCACATACTCAGTAGAGGAATTTTAGAGCTCTCATATTTACTACATATAAAAGAAAATGAAACCCAGTCTGAGCAGGGGGGTTGCAGAAACGGGGTCTCAGAAATTTTTAGCTCTTTCTATCATTGGCCTATCCCTATTTTGCTCTTGCAGAACATAGTTATTTGGGATAATTTATTTACAGGAAATGTTTAATGAGATGTATTTTCTTATAGAGATATTTCTTACACAAAGCTTTGTAGCAAAATATATTTGCAGCCTGTTGACTTCAATGTAGAAAAATGTATAATAAGATTAAATATATTAAATGTTCTTTCCCATTCCTCCCCAAATATTTTACCCATGTTCTTTTCCTTTCCTGCTGCTTAAAAAGAACAGTTCTTTCTGGAAAAACATGCAAATCAGTTGAAAAAAAACCCCACATATATTTTAGCTATAGGAGTAAAAGCATCTGATTGTTCTTGTGTCTCAGAGCACTATATGGGCTGAATTTTGGTAAAACACATGAAGGTGATCTTAAAAACCCTTTTTCATAATTTCTACAAAACTGGCTTAAGTGACAACTGTCTATATGCTTCTCTGGGGTCAGTTTCCACCAAACACTCAAGAATATGTTTTGAAAATAATGCACCTGTTTGCATAATGTAAAATCAATCAGGGTAAATAGGAACGATGTCAAGACATGTTTCCTGGATAGTGATACATACCAGAGGGACTCATGACAGAAAAAGGTACTATTCAAGTTACACAGCATTTTGCTATAGGCTACATACAGCATGCAAATGTGCTGCTGCAAAATTTATAACTGTCAATTCTGAAATGGCAAATTACAGCATCCAGCTCTAATAACATGAAACAATCCATGGGCACAACTGAAAATACTGTTACTAAAACCATCCAAGTTTTGATCCCAGGAAAACTCCTGCAGAGCGCAATAAATATTGTAAAATAATGGTTGTGGTTATTGAGCAATTGTCTTGATATCTTTGTTACTTATTTCTGGTAACCCTTTACTCAAACAGATGCACATTTGGAGGATGGAATGGTCTCCTAATCACACTAGTGTTTCTATAAAATGAAAAGTTTTAGCTACTGTTATTTGCAATATTTGATGGGTAGGCCTTTGAAAATTCTAACACTTAGTATGAACATAATAAGGTTGTGAGCATTTTCAGAGCCCAATGACTTCGACAGAGACTGCCAAAGCCTTCAGAGATTTAATCTGGGAACAAAAACAATAGGCACAGGCAGTTCCTTGCACACCACAAATACTGAGCCACATAGCTGAACTGAGTAGCATGCAAGCAGTTTTGTAAGACTGAAGTTTGATTGTTTAGAAGCCATTCAGTTACTGTTTTGTGAAAATATACATCAGTTTGAGAATAAAAGAGCAGCTAAGTTTGGGGATAATTGCTCTCACTCACTATGTCACTCATCACAGGAATTAAGAATGACTTTGGCTCAGTAACATTTCAGAAATCTGCTGTCATGACACAAGAACAGAAGATGTTGTTGCTGAACAATTCAAATACTTTTCCTATTAGCCTAGAATAGCCTCAGCAATGCAACATCTCTTTGGAAATACTTATTAGCTTTCCTAAAAATAATGGATTTCTACTCTATAACAGCGTATATTTGATTTACAGTATAAAGTGGGCATGTATCTATTACTGTTCTATTTGCTTTGTCTCATATTGTTTGCGACCTATAGTATTTATGATTTTTAATATTTTTTAATGAAAACAATTAAAATTGATTTATCTGCTTACTTCTATACAATACTTTTAACATCTAACATCTGATGGCATCTGACACCTAAACAACAATTCACCAGAATTCAAGCCATCTTCTGCATATTCTGATTTTCCTGCTCATTATCTCAATAACAGCAGGAAAGCTCTCATCAAACACCATAAAATATCTTGGGCAGAGGCTGAGAAAAGACATTCCTAAACTGCTCCTTGTTACCAACCTCTCCGCTTTTGCTTGAGAGCTTTGCATCATCACCCCCACTTGGAAAAGTAAATGCTATCAAAGAAAATTTGTATTTCTCATCCCTTCCAGTTTCCTTTCCTTCTAGGAAACCCATTTAAAAAAGATATCCTGAAGGTCAAAGCCAGCAGAAACTCATGAAACAGAGACTCTAAGCTGAGGCTTTAGGAGTCTTAAGATCAATCCTCTAAATTTCAAAAACTTAAATACTAAGAGAGTTATGTAATATCAAGACCACATTTACAAAAAACAAAGAAACCTAGTTCTTTGGATTGTCAGTCACGTGCTGAAAATAACTGTCTACAGTGAGGAAGAAAAAACAAACTCTTCCTGCTCACCCAAGCAACCTAATCTGTAATCCCTGACAAACTGAATGCAGTTGGTTTGGGCTTCTTTTGCACTAGGCACAGTTTCACTGCACAAAAAGGCATCATTAATTTTGTTTTTAAATCACAGTAATAATAAAGTTATGGTTTCTTACCTAGCTCCCCAGTCTGAGGTATGGCACCTTTCTTTTGCTACATTAGATGGGAGTGAAGGAACAGAGTTAGTCTCAAGATCTGTGTTCTCTTGTTTAAACCCTAACACTTCATTGAGATTAATGGAAATTTCAGCTCAAGTGCCTTATCAGCTAAAACAATTTTCCACTTGCTCACCACTACCAAAGAGTGCTTACAGTACGACAGAGACCCCATATCCGTTCTTACCTTTTGTTTCCACTTCAACTTTACGTGACTGCTATCAATTACGGATGTGCAGCAAATGTTGGCTGCAGTCCCCTCTTACTGTGTGGAAACACAAATTTCAGATGGGATTATTCCATTAACAATATCTGAATCAAAATGAATACATAGCATTGTCCTGCCTCACAATACAACAGTTTTCAAATTGTGGTCCATGAAACCCCCATGTTCAGAGACCTTAAACTAGGAAGCATGTCAGTAAGTTGGAAAAAAATTAGGAGTTTTCAAATCAAAAAGGCCAGAAAAGTACGGTAAAAAACCCCAAAACCAAAAACCAAGTGAAAACCTCATACTCTTCATAAAGGTAAGCCTGTTACAGGCTCTGGGAAATTATTTCATCTTTTTGGTAAGAACATGAATCAAGCAGCAGGTATCTGGGAAGACACGCTGCAAACACAAGCAAGCTGCTAGAAGTTCTTCATTGTCTTTTCCCAGGAAAGTAGAACTACTGCTTCTGTGTCTGCACATTTCCATCTACAATAAGAATACTTTAAAGTGTATCTTGCCATCACACTTGATATCACACTAACTGCAGAAATGCTTATTATCTGCTGTTTCCAACCGCTGAAAAACACATGACTTCACTGTACTGGTATAACAAACTGCTCCTAAAGCAATGTGGTAATTTAAATTCCGTTTCCCATATGGGCAAGACAAACAAGCTGTAGATGGACCTTCCAGTTACTCTTTTTTTTTTAATAACTGATGCATGATGGTCATATGCTAAACTCATTTGTCAATCTAGTTTTTTTATCTATTGCCTGGAAAATGCAGCAACTTAACCCTGGACTGATGGAAGGGATACTTTGGGACTGTGAATTAAAATGAGCCTGTTAGGAAAAGCGAGGACAAGTGCTGGCTTTGGCCAGTTAAGGAGGTGGAAGAGTTGATTGTGGGAAGGAGGGATCTAGACAGAACCACTAATTAGGAAGGTGATAAGAACAGGGAACTTTGTCAAACCAATTTCAAAACCCACAACCTTTCACCTGAAGCACACTGGTCTGAGTACAACCATGACCAAGGGGACTCTGACTTGTCCTGATGATGTGATGGTAAAATCACCCACACACATGGTGATCAGCAGTCTTGGACCTATTCCCAGAGAAGTAGAGTTCTCAACTTTGGTCCAACTGGCAATCTTAGTTTTGTTATAATGAGACCCAAGGCGGAAATGAGCTGGAGAGGTGCATTCTTTCTTTCCTCCTGACAAGTGCCTCTCAAAGGATCTGCTCTCACACTGCTGTGGCCATGTGAGTTGAGCCATCTGCTCAAGCCATACCGAGCTAAGAAAGGGAACACAATCAAGCCGTCACATAGCACATCAGGAGGGGTCTCCTTAGGAAGAGGCCATGTACACTTTTAGGTTTATAAAAAACTCCCTCAGGAGCACAGTCTGTCCCACATGGAAAGGCAGAATGATTTTGTTCATAACCAATGCAAGGCAGCCCTTAAAGAGATGTGATAGATAGGCTGAGTGGTACAGTCCACTGCACTGTTCACTTCTCCTGGGACAGAAGAGCAAGTGCCTGCTGCATGTAGAAGAATTTATGGGCATGTGTCTCCCTACTCAGACAAAGGGACACAACTCCGACCCTGACAGACCCATATGGGTGTGATTGCTCATGAGCCCATGAAGGTTGGGCAGCTTGGACCTGTTGACCAATGCCCTGACAGCAGTTTGGTGCCCTGCATGCCAGGTTCATTCTTGTGGTTATTAAGAGCCATTCATCTACCAACTCAGGAGAAGCAAATAAGTTCAAAATAAACTTTGTAATACAGGAACTCATTGCAATATATGAACTAGAACAAGATCTAAAGGAAAACAACACTTGTCACCCACAAACCAAACTATTTGGGGTTTGAAGGGCAAGATTTCTGGTCAAGGTGCGTTTCATGGAAGTTTTTTTCCTTAAATTCCATTATTTTTACTTTTTGGAAAGTTGCTTTGGCTCAGGACAGTTTTTTTCTCTGCTCTTTGATTGATTTTGCAGTGGAAAGGGAAGGAGTGTTTAGACACACAAAATGAGAAGGTTGATGCCGTGGTGGAAGGACTTTTCAGGTATTTTCTAGGAAATCAGGCTATATCTTTTGTTTGCTGGTATTTACTGCATCAGAGGAATACGAGGTCAATGACTCATAACAGAGTTTATCTGTAAACATCCCTTACTCTTTGCAGCCAATCTATAAGTCTGTTACTTTCACTGTCTTCAAAACAATCCTTAAAGGACTAAAGGGACAAAATCTAGTTCATTGCAAATCCTGAGGTAATTCACCCATTTTTTCACTCAGATAAAAATATCAAGTGGCAATTAATTTTTTTGTTATTTTTTGATCAGCTGTACCATCACGTGTTTGTTTATATCACTCTTTCCACTGAAAAAAAACTAAAAAACATTTTCTCTTTTAATTGTTTTTAAAAGGTCCATTTCCCTCAAAAAACCCCCAAAACCAAACAAGTGCAGCCTTAAGGACCACATTTCTATATTATTTAAAAAATATTCAGCCTCATTTGAAAATGCCCAAACATTATCATCATATTTCTAACAAAAACCAAAAAGTATAGTTCTACTTGTATTAGTTTTGTACCTCAGAGCCCTTTTCACTGTTTTCCGGATGCATGTGAGCTAAGAAAATCAATGACAAAATGAAAAAATATGTATTTAGTGACACAAATTGTGAAGCAATATTTTGGAATTGGTTTTGATTGGTGAAGGGAAAGACATTCACTTTAACGTAATATGTAAAAATGTTTTTGGAATTTCCTAGACAATAAACAGGATGAAGAAAGATTTTTGCACTGCTTAGCTGTTCTAAAGCAAGGCATGTTCCTAGCCAGTATTTAAAAATACAGATCTGACAATCCAATATCTATATTCTGAGCTTAATAAATAAAGCTTGCACATTTAAATTAGTTTAATCTTATATAACAAACATCAAGGGCTAGGTTCCTACTGTGTTTTTTTCCTGTATATGCAATAAGTTGAACTAATCTTCTTGCCTTTGAATGAGATCACATTTAAAATGGTTATAATGATTTAATTGAATTTATAATTCTAGAAAAATAAACAAATATCACAGTATTTATTTCTACATGATAAGTGCTTGGTAGAGACAAACCATTTAATTTAGGAAAATTAAGAAGTCCTAAGCTGCCAGTCCTGAAATGGGGGACATTTTTGATTTGTCGTTTGTCTAAGATGTCTAATGAGGTCAAATTAAGTGAGACTTTCAGGAACCTTTTAGTAATTTTCCTGGCTTTTCAGTTGAACTTTTCAACAATTTTCATTAAATATTTTTTTTCTTATGACTGCTGTAATTGTTACATTGCTGTTGCAACCCTTGCACCTGTCATATCATTAGCAGACATAGAATAGAATTTAAATCCTATTGATAAACTTCTAATAACCTGGGTATAAAAAGTATCCATTTACTTCTGTAACACTTATAAATCCTGCATACTATACCACACTTCTTACTCGAGTTCAAGATACAATCCACATGCTTAAAAGCCTTGGGCTTTCTCACTCAGGTTGGGAAAACAGCTTTTCAAGGACTTAGTCTGGAGGAAAGGAGAGGGTGGGAGTCCTGGCTCCAACAGCCTGTTCCCCCAGCCCTCAGCATTGCATCCCAGGGTCTTGGACACCCACTGTCAAAGGCAATGCGTGTTCCACAGAAGTGACCTTCTCTGACTCAAGCCACATGAGCTCTGCAAAAGAAACTGCATGGATTCAACAACCAGGCGCTGACACCAGCAGAGCAGCTGTAGAAAAAGCTAAAGCAGGAACTGCTTGTAATGAAAAGATTTTTTTTTTTTATTCTAACAGGACTTCAGCTGTCCTTGACAACTGACATTTGCTCTAAGCTTGTTCTGCTCTCATCTCAGTCCCTTCACCTCTGCAGTGCTCCACAGTTGCCCTTCTTATCTTCCTCTCTTCCCATATTATTTCCTATTAATTTCTCCTTTTCCTTGTCTTTCTAATCCCTTCTGCCACAAAGGGAGAATCAACATGTCATTTATCATCACAATATTGATAGCTATGTACTATCCCTCTCCCTCCCCTTCCCATTTTGTCTATTCATATACTGCTCTTCAAGGTAGGAAGATTGCCTCTTACCCTGCTGTTTGTATACAGTCCAGAAAATTCTACCTGGCTTTGGTTGGTCCCACACAAATAACACGACCAGTAAAAACCTCTGCAAGAAGAAAACAAGGAAACTTCCTCACCAGGACTTTTGACATTGATCTTTTCTCAATCTGAACTCTGACAGAAAGTACCATGGTATCACCATACAGAAAATTCATATCTTTAGACTGAAATGGTAGAGCTGTCTATACTCCCAGAACAGGTTATAATTCTTTACTCATGGCCTAATAAAATGCTTCCATTTCTGATGTTTACTACCTTTCCTCTTCAAATTTCTCTGCACTACTCAAATAATACAGCTACAATGTTTGGTTTCTTACAAACCTAAAAATTAAAACACAGCTCAAACTTTCATTTTTCCCAAATTCCTGCATGTTTTGTTTCTACGTTGTTTTTAAACTGCAGAATTACACCAAGATTCAGATAATCCTTGTAACATAATGAAAAATTAGACAGTATGAAAAGAGCGCAGCATTCTGGAAACCTGTGAAACTTCCTTCGACAAAGCTATAAAACAAACTTCCAGCAGTGCTTGCCAGGTTTTCTTATGTTCTTACCCATTAGTTTTCTCAACAGGCACTTACGGCTTTTCAGAGCTTCTATTTTCACTGACCATCATTCTTCTGCATGGTCCTACACAGCAATGGCTGAGACACCTGTATTGGCACATCTCAGTGCAGATCCATTACTCAGTCACCATACCTTTCCTAAGCCATGACTGAAATATGCAGCAGTCCATCTGATTCCTCAGTCTTCAGGATTCTTGACTTGCCCTTCCCTGAACCGCTGCATTTACCCTCCTATGGACACCGTCCCTTTCTTATTACCTGCAATAGCCACAAGCCCTGCGGGTTTTATGCTCTTGGCCAGGCTTCAAGTTTCAGCGCTTCCCTTGCTTCTCACCCTCCACACACTAATCAGGAGTTCCCTAGTGGGGTCTGGGATGTAGATGCCTGTTTAACTTCTGTCCTCAGCATTTCAAAACCATTAGTCAGGGCCTGGACTGTGGCCATCAGAATATGAGTACTGTAAGGTAGACAGAAACTCCCACATTCTCCTCACCCCATGCATCTGGAAGACAAATAATGAGTCCCACAGTGTATTGTTTATTCTCATCCCATGTTAGTTTTATTTATAATGATAAGCAAATAGTGCTTTTCTGGCTATTAGGTGGAGTACAATGAGGTACCATGAAGCATGGAGATGGGTACCCTGAGGTGGGAGGATGGCTAACCTATGCCTTCACACACTTCACCATATTCTGAACTCTATCTCCAATTAGTAAGCCTGGTCATTATCACTCTAATGAGTTACCTGTGACAGTTTGTATTATCTGCAAAACAATCCAGAACGACCTGTAGTTCGAGCAATCTTCCATGAGTTAAGCTCCACTAAATCCCCAGGTGATCATGTGTCTAGCTGTATTGCTATAAATATACATCTACGCTGTTAAGTAGCCTAACTGTTAAACTCATCTGCAAGTACCGTGCCTTCAGCTCATCACTGCTAATTCATTCAGGCTTCCTTCTTCTTCATTTTAGATAATGTCAGGTTGCTTCTCCCTTGGATGAGATACTACTATGCTTAGTAATTCCCAGCTTGTGGGAAGGACAGGAGACAAAGGGAAGACAACAGTCAGAGAAAATTTGAAGACAATCTGCAGCTCTCCTGTCAGTGTCAGGCTTGGGGCAATTGGGGTCTATTGGTTTGCTGAAATTTTCTTTGCAAACAGCTCTCTCCTAAGGTGTCCTTTATATTCTCTGAACATACCATATCATTTCACTTTTATATGCGCAAGACACGATGTTTTCTTCATTTTAACTTGTCCCTTTGTTTACCAATATTAACTTTTACTGAAGACCTGCTTTTTACTCTGCATTATGCTCACATTTAGACTACATAAATTGTGTAAAAATATGTTAGATTTTAATAAACTATATTAAAATATAGACAATTCAAACTACATAAATTTTAGTAAATATCCATAACAAAGTTTTAGAGTCTCTTGTACTCCTATCTGTTTACCTAGCCAAACCTGCCCATCCTCTTTATCATAATGACAAAACCTGGTCCTCAACAGGTGTCTGTGAGACTTCAGTGCACGTAAATCAATTTGTTTTCATCAATATAATACCTAATCAAGTTCTGGTACACATTAATGGCAGTCTTCATCACAAAAAAAAAAAAACAAAAACAGTTAGCATGTGAAAATGGAAACAGATACTTTTCTAACAACCATATTAAAGAAGAC